GGAGCCCGAGCCGAGCCGAGCCCGAGCCGCTGCTGCCGCCGTGCGCCGCTCCTGGGCTCCTTCCCTGCGCTCTGGCCGGGGTGTGGGGGGCGGCGAGCTGGAGGGGCGAGGGCTGGCAAGGGGGCGCGCAGCGGGGTTGGCGCCGAAGACCGGACCCTCGGCCACGAGGGGTAAGTGTGGGCGCTTGGGGTGTGCTTGGGCGTGTGCGGCGCGGGTCTCGACGCCCGCCAACCCTGCCCCCCTCACCTCGCCAGGCCCCCACCGCTCGCACCCCTCCTCCTGCCGCCTGCGGCTTCCTCTTGTTCGTTGTTGGCCTGAGCTTTTTTGGGGGGGGGGCGGGGAGTAAGGGGGAGACTGTAGTGTGTGTGCCAGCGGAGGAGGAAGTCAGGTGAGAGGCTTCGATGCGCCCCCGACAAACCCATCCTGTGCGGGGCGTATCGCTTCCCACTAGGGGCATGTGGGCCAATGTATTTCTCTCGTCAATGTTCGGTCGAGACGCTCTTTCCTAGAGGGCCTCTTTCCCTTCCAGCCTGCTCTGTCCTTGTCCCTTCACCCCACCTTCGCCCCTCCTGGGCCCTTAACCAGGAGCATTGCACCCCAACTAAGGAGCACGTGACGAATGGAGGAGGGGGGTGTTCTGCAACCCCCCATGCCGTGCCCCAGCCCGTTTATTTCAATATTTGTCCACCCATCAGCAGCTGTACTTCTTTCCAAGCCACTGGAAAGGGACGCCTAAGCTGAGGTTCAATTTCCCCCAAAAAGCAGGGGCAAAAAGGATTTCATAGACAGGGGACTCAGGAGAGGAGAGGGGCAAGGACACCTCACCGAATGGGGACTGAAACCTCAAAAACCTTCTCCGCAAGATCAGGGTGACTGTAGGCTCAGGACTCCAGGCTAACAAGAAACTGGAGCTTCATCAACTTTACCCTCTTTACTAACCATTCCTCCCCCGCAGCTCTAAGGAAGCTAACAGGTCTTTTGTTTTGTGTTATCTTTGGGAAATATGCATTGAGTGTGACAACAGAAAATTACTACTGTTTACTCATGGTTAAGAGAATTGTAGAAAGAAAAACCATAGTCTTTACTTCTCTCTTTGTACGTGTGTGTGTGTGCGTGTGCGTGCGTGTGTGTGTGTGTGTGTGTGTGTGTGTGTGTTTGGCAAGAAGTGCAGTTGTGAGGTTCATGGCTTGAGCTGCAGTACGGTCAGTGTGTAACAATAAGGACTGTAGAGCTGCCTCCGTGTATTTTTAGAAGCGGCACTTTCTTGACTTCCTTTCACACAAGGCTTGCTCCCTCATTAAGTCCCCATAAATAATTGTATTTAGAGAGAACTATGGAAGCAGGAGGGTGATTGCTAAAATCTCCATCCCGCCAGCGCAGAGCACTGTTTGCAGTGAAGTTCCTGGAAAGTGACTGTGGGCTGAGAATTCAGTTTTTCCTAAAAGCTCTGTCAGGTCCTCTTCTGTCAGATGCCTATGAATAAAGCACGCTGAGAAAATCCTGATATCTTTGCAGTCTTATTTTATCTTTTACACAGTGGTTGACTGAACTTTCAAGCCCGGGTAACAAACACATCAACTCTGCTGTATTTTTGTGTGTTTTTTCTAAATAAAGGAGAGTAGCACGTGTATTCCTGCTGCTTTCTGATATGCCAGTTCTTTTCTGTCAATGGGTATTGAATTCACTGGAATTCATCTGTGTTTTTCAGCTGATTGTCTTTTTATTTAGAGACAATTCCAAAGACATAAGAATATAAAAAGTTTTATGAATTAGAGTGTTCTTTTAGACAACTAGTCTCTTCTTTGTAAGAAATGAGTGGCAACTTCAACTCCTAGTTCTGTAAAGCAGAAGGGTATAAATGTTGCAGTGGGCAAAACAAAGTAAAACACAAAATTTCCTCTCTGAACCACTATCTGCCTTCACACATCCCAGGAAACACCAAGTCCTTCTGCCTTAATTTACCAGAATGCTGAATTGCCTGACAAGTACCAGTATTCCCGTCTGAGAATGACATCAGTTTTGGAATGGAAAGAATAAATTCTCAGTCTTTAATTACTGCTTATTAGCAATTTCTTGTAGCAGACAACTGATTCTGCAGTTCTGAAAGCCAGAAATAAAACTTAAAAGATACTGAAATACAAAAAAAGGTGGTTTTTTTTCTCTCTTACACACTCATATATTCATCTACTTCCCCAAGCTGTCAGCTAAGCTCCCAGAAGTTAAGATACAAGATGTACCCATGAGTTGAAGCAAGAGAACATTTTGCCCCCAACCTTTTGAATTGGTTTTTATTTTCTTCTTCTACAGAGCCTTGTACAGAGAGCTCATAGGCTCTAGTATAACACAGAATTATGTAATGCTGGCAGTAGTACATTAAATAATGTATCTTGATTAACTCTTACATAAGCCTTACCCTGGCACATAGTAGGAATTCATTAAATACTTACTGAATAAAGATGTTAATGAAATAATATAATTCACCTCAAATTCAATAGCACAGGGCTAACTAAGGCTTTTTTCTGAAGAGAAGAGCATTTTGTCTGAAAGTTTTTAGGGTATTATGTGTGTGCTCCTAGATTTTTTTTTAAAACTAGTTCAGATCTAACTTAAATAGTTGAAGGGCAAGTAATCTGAAATCTGTCACGGGGTTAATAACAGTTGCTAATGTCAAAAGGGAGTCCTGGTGGCGAAGTGGTTAAGAGATCAGGCAGCTAACCACAAGGCTGGCAGTTCAAATCTGCCAGTCGCTCTTTGGAAACCCTATGGGGCAGTTCTGCTCTGTCCTGTAGGGTTGCTATGAGTCGGAATGGACTTGAAAGCGACAATGTCAAAAGAGGGAGCCCTGGTTGCGCAGTGGTTAAAGCACTCCGCTGATAACCAAAAGTTCGGCAGTTCAAACCCAGCAGCCACTCTGTGGGAGAAAGATGTGGCAGTCTGCTTCAAGATTTACAGCCTTGGAAACCCTGTAGGGCAGTTCTACTCTGGCCTTTAGGGTTGCTATGAGTCGGAATCGGGAATGTTAAAATCTACACTGGTTGTTTTCCTCTGAGAATAGACAGTAAGATATAACCTACTATATAGTATGAAAAGGATGCAAAGAGGAGCAAAACAGTATTGACACTCTCGGAACTTATTTGCTGGGAAAACGACATTAAAATGTCAAAAAGACAACTCAGTGAATCAGTAAATAGTTTGAATCAAAGTAAAACTTGAGAAAATTGATTTTTTTGTCTTTTTAGACCAGAGGAGGTAGAGATCTGGAATCTCCAGGCTGGGAGGTATTTTAAAGGCTAATTTGACCGTCAAACCCTAAGGGGCCGTCGGAATTTTATCTACAGAGTGCTTGCCACAGAGTAGAATTCAATATGTATTGTGTGGATGAATGAATAATTTCTGAAGTAGTCCGTGCCATCTTTTTATGCTTTATTACATTTTTGTCCTTGTATTACACAGAATTGGTCTTCCGGAAATTTCCAGCCATTCGCTTTACTTCTGCCATTTGCAGCAAAGCAGAACAAATCTGTTGTATCAGTCAGGATAGGCTATGTTATGCTGGAATAACAAACAATTCCACTTTTTAGTGGCCTTGTGATCTAGTAGCGTCTGAGGTTGTCTGCATTCAGGAGGAGGAATGAGAATCAGGATCAGACCAAAGCTGATTCCCATGAGGTGGAGGTCAGACGTTTTCACCATTTCTGACATCAGCCGTCTCCCCCTCCCCCCAGCCCAGCACTTTCTACTTCTCTGCTGGGTTTGATAATTCATTGCAATGGCCACACCAAACTCACAGACCATACTCACGATTATGTGGTTTTTTATTAGGGAAGTAACGGGCTATAATTCAGGATCAGGATCAGCTTGGAAGTAACAGGATACAACTCAGGAGACAGGAGACAGTTCATCAATCAGCACAGCTCTCAGCTCCTTCTTGGCCATGTCCAAAGGCAGGCCCTTTTCTTGGCCATGCCAGCCAATGACCTTTCTCTCAGCCATGCCATCCTGCAGGCCTTCTCTAGGCCTCTGCCTTGCTCGGGCAAGTGTTACAGCTCTTTATTCCTGACAAGTGCCCAGAGTCACCCCACTCTGCAAGCATTCCTCCTGTCTGAAGGCACTCAGCTCTCTCTTGTTCTGCGTGCTGGCAAGCCCACCACAGCAGCCTCACTCTGTGGGCCAACAAGCACCACTGCAGCTGTCTGCCAGACCCGTGATTCTCACCTTGCTACTGCTGCTGCTATTTCTCTGCTGCTGGGCTCTGCTGTGGTTGCCACTGTTTC